GATGAGCAGAGGGAGGGAGGGGTGGAAGGAGGGACAAGGGATGGAGGGAGGGAGGGAGGAAAAGGGTGAGGGAGGGAGGGAAGGAGGGAGAGAGGGAGAGGAGAAGGCGGGGATGGAGGGAGGAGGGCGAGGAGGAGGCAAGAGGGAAGGACGGAGGGGTGAGAGGAGGGAGGGCGGGGGCGGGAGGGGCAGGGTCAGGGCTGGGGGTCGCTGAGGCGGCCCATGAAGACGGGCACCTCGCCGGCGTCGTGCCAGAGCACAAAGAGGAAGGGGCGCAGCGCCTCCAGCACCAGCGCCGAGCGCGCCACCGAGGTGGCCATGGCAGCCGCCGCCTCCACGCCGGCCTCGTCCAGCGCCAGCACCGCCCGGTGCCGCGCCGTGTCCACCGCGGCCGGGCCCTCCACCAGCCCGCACAGCTCTGCGTCCAGGAACAGCCCGAAGTCTGCGGCACACGGGCTCACAGTCACCCCCGCGGGTCAAGGCGGCGAGGGGACACCGGGGGCACCCAGGGGGACAAGGGATCCAGAGGAAACGGGGGGGGGGAGGGAGACACGGGGCTGTAGGGACATCGGGGGACACGGGAATGCTGGGGATGGAGGACACCCCAGAGGTGCACCGGGGACACGAAGGGGTCTGGGGAACGCCAGGGAGAACGGGGACCTGAGATAATATGGGGGATAATATGGGGACACAGGTGCAGGAGGACAGGGGCGCTGGGGGCAGCAGGGCACAGTGAGGGCACTGGGGACATTGGGGACACCAGGGGCACGGGGGGACCCAGGGGAAACCAAAGGTACATTGGGGAAACTGGGGTCTCTGGGGACACTGGGGAAAGGGACTTGCAGAGGAGGAGCCCGTGACATCCCACAGGGAGCAATGTCACCCTCAACCCACCCAGCTGTGGTGCCGTCACAGCTGTCCTTACCCATGTCGTGGACCAGGGGCACCACGTCCAGGGCGAGGTCGAGGTGCATTCGGGGTAGGGCCAGCGTTGTGGCCCGGAGGGGCGTCTGGGCCGCTCGCCGCAGCAGTGCCAGGAAAGTGGGGGGGTCCAGCGCCCGCTCCAGGGTTTCCAGTGCCCCCAGGGGCCCCCGTGGCAGCAGCACCACTAGGCTGAGCCCCTCGTTCAGCTCCAGCCTCCCCACCTGCAGGGCAGCTCCCTGACTCAGGGCCACCACAAGGACCCCACAGACCGGCATCCCCCAGTGCCACCACTGAGGTCCCAGCCTGGCATCCCCCCAGCCCAGGGGCGTGAGGTCACAGCCGGTGCCCCTTTCAGTGCCAGGGGAGTGACATCAGCCTGGCATCCTCCCCGAGTGCCACAGGAGCAATGTCACAGCCTGGCATCCCTCCCTAGTGCCACTGGAGTGACATCATGCTGTTACTCACCCCTAGCAGTGACCTGCCAGGCCCCCAGGCCAGGCAGTGAGCCCACAGCCCTCCCAGGGCCTAGCAGTGACCCCACAGCTCCACCAGTGCCTGGCGGTGACCCCCTCAGACCCCCAACTTTATCCCAGCGGGGGTACCTGGACCTGCAAGCGGGAGTCAGTGAACGAGGCCACAGGGTACTTGGTGCTGGTCATGGTGGGCACCGTGACTGGGAGGCGCCTGGGGCGCAGGAAGGGCAGTGGCACCGTCTGCTCGGGGTCCAGGGGCGTGCGCCAGGCGGCTGTGGGGACAGGGCACGGGGGCTGAGGGGTGGGGGACACCAGGGGCACTGTGTGGGGCAGCCTCGGCCATGCGCCCGATCCTGGGTGGATCTCGGGTGGGCGCAGGTAGATGTGGCGGAGCCATACCATGCAGGTGGACAGCGCTTAGCAGCAGCAGCCGGGGCTGCGGGGGCAGCTCAGGCAGCAGGGTGGGCAGCAGCCCCTTGCTGGCCTCCCGCACCCAGGCGTTGATGCTCTGCAGGTCCAGGCTCTCGTTGCCACTCAGGGTGCGCGGGCGGGCGCCGTAGAAACGCAGGGAGTCGTTGAGGAAGCGGGGCCGGAAGCGCAGCTCTGCGTGGCAGCGCAGTGGGCGTCAAGCCTGTGCCCAGTTGGCAGCAGCACCCCACAGGCACCTGGAGCCCGCCTCACCTGGGTGGTGGAAGATCTGGGCGGCTGAGAAGAGGCCAGGCGAGCTGGCCAGCTGCTGCAGGGCACCGTGCACGCAGCCCAGTCCCGGTGGGTATGCCAGGAGGGCACCCAGCCGCTCACGGGTTTCGCCGCGGGCTCCTGCGGGCATGGGGGGAGCTTGGTGAGGTGCCCCGGGTGGGACAGCCCTGGGGGACGCAGGTGGTGCCCACGGCAGTGCCGGTGCCCGTGGGCAGCCCCTCACCCAGCAGCAGGTGTGAGAGCCCTGTGGCGACATTGAGGGGGGAGAAGAGTAGGTTGGCGTCGGGCCGGGCAGCCTCGGCCATGTGCTGGTAGAAGCGGAGGGCAAAGGTGCCCAGTGCCTCGGTCACAGCCGCCCGCTGCTCCCCGGTGGGCTCCCCACAGGCCTCGGCTGGCTCCTCGTCCCCGGGGCACGGCGGGGTGGTGGTGCCTGGGGGTCCCTGAGTGGTGGGCACAGCTGTGGTCCCGTAGGCTGCGGTTTCCGGCTCCTCAGGGGCTCCCTTGGGTTCTGCAGGGCTGGGGGCATCCGTGGCCCTGTGAGGGGCATCCCAGCCAGGCAGCCCCTCAGGGTGGGCTTGGTGGGTAGGCATAGGCAGGACAGGTGCCCCCACATCCTGCGGGGGGGCTAGGGCAGGATGGGGGGGCACTGGTGGTGTCGAGGGCTGTGTGAGCAGCTTCATCCCACTGGGAGAGGCCTCCGGCGTGGGCACCTGGGTACAGGGACCTGGGTGAGGGGGGCACGGTGCACCCAGGTGGGTGGCTCAGGTGAGAGGAGACACGGGGGTGTTGGGCACAGGGAGCCCGTCTTCCTGGGCCACACTTACCGGGCTGACAGTGGCCATGGCTGTGGCCACCAGCCACGCCAGGGGCAGCCAGAGCGTCATGGTGGGCATCCTGGTGGGAGGGCACAGGTCAAGGGCAGGACAAGCACTCTGCACCCTCACCCTGGCACCTGCAACCCCCCTCCCTGCACTGCCTGTACCCCACCCCGTGCGCCCCCACCCACCCCGGGGTGCCCCCACTCTGCCCCCCACCCGGGGTGTGGGAGGAGGCAGTGCCCCGGGCCCACCTGGGTGCCCTGCGAGTTGGTCCCTGCGTGTCCAGCGGGCGCCGGGGGATCTGGCCGGCTCCGGCCCTGCCTGGTTAAAGATTAAGGAGGTTCCCGTAAATCAGCCGGGGATGCGGAGGCAGCCGGGGGCGGGGGACGGGCAGGGCGGTGCGGGGGCAGCCGAGGGGGCGGGATGCGGCCCCGCGTCGTGCTCTGCCCTCCTCAGGCACCCGCTGGACGAGGGGGGGGGGAGCGGCGCTCCTGTCACCCACCACCACCGGGACTCCCGGGTGACGGGTGTCCCCGGCCGCCCCAGACCCGTCTGACGCCACGCACCCGTCCAAGGGGTGCGGCCGGAGAACCTCGTCGCGCCCGCCCCGGGGCGTGATCCCACGGAGCCCATCCCCGTGATACCGGGCACTGATCACCATGGCAGTGAGGATCGCCAAGGTGGGCTCCGGGGGAACCGGGACCGCGGGGGTCCTTGTGTCCGCACCGCAGCGGGAGGTGCGGGGGTCCCGGTACCGGGGTGCGGGACAGGCGGTGCCAGGGTGTCAGTGCCAGGGTCCCGGTACTGGGGTGCGGGAGAGGCGGTGCTGGGGTGTCAGTGCCAGTGCGGGAGAAGCGGTGCTGGGGGGGTGTCAGTGCCGGTGCAGGGATCCCGGTGCCAGGGTGCGGGGGAGGTAGTACCAGCGTGAAGGGTTTCCGATGCCGGGGGTGCCAAACCCGCCCTACGCACTCCGGTTTCGTTTCCCCGACGGGAACCGTTCCGCGTCAGGGCGTGGTCTGTAGTGGCCGCACTCCAGAGGCGTGTCCATGAAGGAGACCCCCGCCCATAAGGGCGTATTCCCTGGAAAGCACCGCCTATAAAGGCGTGGTCCACGGGGAATCCCCGCCCGTCGAGGTGTGTCTCGGCTGCTGCCCCGCCCAGGACGAGCCGACGGAGGGATGTTTTGGGGTGCAGCCCCCTCCCTGGAGGCGTGTTCTGGACGGCCCCAGCCACCCCCCGCCCGTCCCACAGGAGCTGGAGGAGGTGCGGCGCTGGGAGGGGGCCCGCGATGTGCGGCCGCTGGACCGGAACGTGCTGCGCTGGGAGGGGCTGCTGCTGCCCGTGCGTGGGGAGGGGGCGCGGGGTGTTGTGGGGGAGTCCTGGGTAGGGAGGGGCTGGGGGTATGTGGGGCGGTCTCCTGGGCGTGGGGGGCATGGCGAGGCCAGAGGGGCACAGAAGGCCTGGATGGGCCCATGAGGGCATGGAGGGTGTTGGGGGTAACCCTTGGAACCTGGGAGCATGAGGTGTCTCCTGGGGACACTGAATGAGGGTCCCTATCAGGGAAGAACTGGGGAGGGTCCTTCTGGGGAAACTAGTGGGGACACTGAGTGAGGGTCCCTATCCGGGCAGAATTGGGGAGGGTCCCTCTGGGGACACCCTGGGGTGCTGGGCTGGGGACGCTGGGTGGAGGTTCCCCTCCAGAGGGCCTCGGGCTGCCGGTGGGCGTGGTGGGGTTTCTCCACGGGAGGCACTGGATGTATCAGGGCTGGACAGGGATCTTCCCGATGGATGCTGTGGCTTGGGGGGGCTGAGATGCCCCCCTTACCCCAGCAGAACAACCCCCCGTACAACGCGGGTGCCTTCCGCTTCGAGCTGACCTTCTCCCCCCACCACCCGCTGGTGCCCCCCCGCGCCACTCTCCGCACCTCCATCTACCATCCCAGCGTGGACCCCGAGGGTCGCGTCTGCCAGCCCCTCACCACCCATGAGCACTGGGCACCCACCACCCGCGCCGTCCAAGGTGGGCACCAGGGGGATGGGGGGAGTGCAGCACTGGGGGTGCCCCCCTGATCCCCTCTCCATTCCCGCAGTGCTGCAGGACCTGCTGCTCCTACTGGACAGCCCCGACCCCCAGCGAGTGCTGCGGCCAGACCTGGCCCGGGAGCTGCAGGAGCACCCCGAGGAGTTCTGGCACCGGGCACGGGAACACACCCGGCTCCATGCCGAGCCGCGCCCCGACCCCCCCGGCCCCTGAGAACCCCAACCCGGGGACACCTCGACTTCCTCCCTCCTTCCCTATGCCAGCTGGGGCTGGCCCTGGCATCACCCCTGCCTTGGTGCCAGACCTTGGCCATGGGGGTCCCCTCTGGCACCACAAAGAGGGTCCTGGCCCCCCACAGGAGCTGTCCCCCTGTACACAAGGCAATAAATTTGCTCCAGCACCTACTCTGGCTCCATGATATCTCATGGGGATGGTGCGCGGCTCCAGGAGGTGCTGCCCCCCGTGTGCCAGCTGTGGAGAGAATGTCACCCTGCCAGTGGTAGAGCCAGGGCTGTGTCCCCACAGACACTCAGTGCCCCTGTGCCCATGTCCTCCCCTCCAGATACGAAGCCACCACTGCCTGGCACCGTGGCCTTTAGTGCTGGGGGACAAGGCAGAGGATAAGGTTGGGGGTGGCACGGGTGCGGGGGACCCTCTCAGCGCTTTTTGGTCTTCACGAGCCCCTTGGCCACCAGGCAGCGGTACAGCTCCTGCACGTACGTGTACACACACTTGGCGTCGGGCACCGGCAGCCGCACCATGTCCTCCACCTCCAGCAGCGGGGCACAGCCCGCCCGCTCCCTGCAGGGAAGGAACATGGCTGTCACTGGGGCCGGGGGGCCGGGAAGGGCCGGGGGAGACCGGGGAGGGCCGGGGCTGCGCTCACGCACTCGGCGGTGGCGAAGGCCAGGGCGAAGTTGTGCCGGCGGGCGTCGGGCTCGAGGGCACCGAAGTCAAAGGCGTCGGGGAAGAAGCTGTGCAGGAGCGCGCAGAAGGCCAGGCCGCTGCCCCAGCTCCCGGAGAAGTTCTGCACGTCCACGTTCTGCGCGGGTGGGAGGGTCAGGCCGCCCCATCGGGCCCTCCCCAGCCCCCTCTCCACCACCCCCCGCCTGCGCTCACCGGGTACCCGCGGGTGCGGGCGCGGCACCACTCCAGCAGCATCGTCTTGACCGTGGCGGCCCCGCCCGACCGCCGCAGGTGCGGGGTGGGCCCCGTGGCGGCGCTGGGGGGAACCAGGACGTGGGACCCTCACACCTCCCTGCCCCCTGTAGCGACCTCCAGTCCCACCGTGACCCCATTGCCCCATGACCCCGGGCCCCCAATGCCCCACTGCCCCATTGTCCCCCTGTCCCACATCCCCCCCTCTCTATGCACTTCCCATTCCCTCCATTTCCCCATGCCCCCCTAATACCCACACTGTCCCACAGACCCCCACATCTCCCATTACTCCACTGTGGCATTGCCCTGAGCACCCCAATATCCCCACTGTTCCATGCCCCCCAACTGTCCACCAATAACCCCACTGCCCCATGACCCCCATTGTCCCCCAATTCCCCCCGCACCTTCCATCGTCCTGAGGTCCCAAATACCACCACTGCTCCATGCACCCACCCCCCACACTGTCCCACAGCCCCACAGTCCTCAGTGCCCCCCCATTTTCCCATGCCCCCCCTGCCCCCCGTGCCCCCCGTGGGGCCAGGCCCTCCTCACCCTCCAAACTTTTCCAGGATGGCACTGCGTCCATAGGCCCGGGACCCCACACGTGACCGCCCCTCCAGCCGCGGTCTCTGCCCCGCCGAAGCAGGGGGTGCCTGGCCCCGCGGCCCCCCCACTGGAGCACCCCTGTGGGCACAGGGGGGACCCACGGGTGGGCTGAGGGCACCACGGTGGGTGCCATTCACGGGGGGGTACAGCCCCGAGCGTGGGGCTGTGGGATGCCACCCGTGGGGTGGGGTATTGGGGTGGCACCCTTGGGGACACTCACCTCTTGCTGCCCTCTGTGCCATCGGTGGTGCCAGCTGTAAGGAAAGAGGAGGGGTCAGAGGGGTGGGAGGGGGTACCCAAATGCTGGGGCACCCCTGGGGCTCAAGGTCCTTCCCCAGGGGAACGGTCATGGGGTTTCTGCAGGGGACCCCATGGGGGGGAAGGACACTGTGTGGGGCAGCGGTGACTGCAGAGCACTCAGGTGCCATTGCCTGCACGGCTCTTACCTGTGGGGGACGTGGGGGATGCTGGGGACATGGGGGATGAGGGGGACACAGGAGATGTGGGGGACACAGGGGATGTGGGGGTCGTGGGGCTGGGGGCCCCCTCTGGGGACGAGCACGGGGGAAACTCAGGCCACAGCTCCTCGTCCTCGTCCTGATGCCAAGTGGGCTCCTGTGGGCACAGCAGGGGTGGCAGTGCCAGTGCGGGCCCTGTCACTTACACAATGTCCCTGGCACTGTCACCCTTCTCCTGACACTGTCACCCCGCCCCGGCGCAGTCAACTCTGTCCCCATCCCTATCGCATCTGCCCTCCCCTGGCTGTGTCCCTCCCCTCCATCGACCCCCCCCGCCTCACCTGCCGGCCCCGGGTGCTACCCGCTGCTGCCGGCCCCGGTTCGCCCCTGGCACCCCCCTCGGTGACCACCCCGGTGTCCCCGGCTGTCCCTGCCCCGGCATCGCCCTCGCCATCTCCGGTCTCCCTGGCATCGCCCCTGGCACCCCTGGGTGCTTCTGCCCCGCCATCCCCGGCAGCCTCTCCCCTCGCGCACCCCTTTGAGCCCCCCGTGTCGGCCTCGTCACCCCCCGTGTCTCCCCCATCGCCCTCCACTTCCCGGGGTTCCCCCACACCCTGCGGGGCTGTCACCTCCCCGCTGCCCGCCGGCTTCGCGGGGGGATCAGGGGGGGTGTCGGGGGCGGGACTACTGCGGGTGGGGGTGCCAGGGGTCGAGGGGTCCGGGGAGGGGGTGCTGGGGGTGGGAGTGCCCGGGGTAGGAGTTTTCGAAGTGGGGGTGTCCGAGGTGGGGGCGTCTGAGGCGGG